AGAGGAAGCAAGAGAGGTGTGTCAGGACTGCGCCAAATGGAGGTCCATCTCTTACCCCTCAGTTTTACGAGTGTGAGTTATGTTGTTCATTACTTACTATTACAGGTCTTAGTAATGTTTTTGACAAGTGCAGTAAAAATAGAGTTATAGAATTATAATTCCTACCGCATATTTTAAATTTGCACCGTCAGGTAGCGCGGCCATGACCCCATCGCGCTAAACACCTCAGTAACCCCGTGACCATGACTACTCCAAACCTCTCCAAATGTCGCGTCAGTCATTCTGCCCAGAAAAAACTTGTTATTACTAACGAAATTTATTTTGGTATGCATTTTTACAAGCCTTTCCGGGATTCTGTTTTTACCAGAAATTAATTTTAAATGAAGATCGTATCCGAAATTATTTCTTAGTTCGTTGTTCGACCAATAGAGACCAATATTCTGGTAATAATTCGGTTCAAACGATGTCTGTTTTCCCTAACTATCCAATCAATGGAAATACGATGAATTATTTTCAATACAAATAACTATATTTACACTAACCCTTTTAGATACAATTACTTATTAAATTGTTTCACGTGTAAACTCTGTGAACACAATTACTTAATAACTTTTCATTTTCGAAATAGCAATTTAGCTTTTGCTACGTACAAACAATGAAGATGCAATACAGAGAACACGAAATTCTCTCCGTTATGTGACAAATTGATATTGGATGTTGTTAGGGGCCGCCTAACAGTGTTGAGAAATAACAAAGCGCCAACATGAAAGCAAACCGTTTTGACGCCAACAACAATAACCAACAAAGAAATTGTGTTGACAACAGTGAAGTAACGGAATATCTTTTTCACACTTTTTATAGCGACGACTGAAGATGATTTCAGATTGTAGTGTCCACTTGAATGCTTTAAATTTTTAACTTTTATATTTTTTTATTCATAATAAAATATATTTTTTATCAGTCATATGAAATTGCCAGTAATTATTTAAGTCCGTGTCAAATAAAAAGAAGCAAGAATTGACATGGGCAATAGAATTCAGTAGTTGTTTTATATTGAAATAGTGTAGACAAACAAGAATACTTGACCCGGAGGCAATGAGTCAACATTTTTTTTCTTTTTATGCCATTTTCTACGGCCATGTAGTTTATATTTTTTCCGTCAGAACTAACCCCGACGGCTGCACTTCTCTCAACTGCTCAGACTCTTGTTTAACTATAGTTCTAATTAACTGATGGAACAGTTAAAAGACAAGTGACAAAACATATCAAAGCTTGTTACAAAATAATATTTCAAATCAACAAAGTTGTACGTAACTTAATATCAATACACTTTACACAACACAAAACTAAAACAAACAAGAAATGCTGCAACAAAATTCACCGGTCTCGTTGTAGACATGACATTTTGAGTAAAATGTTCATACTTTCGTTGTCGACATGTCACCTGGGAGAGAATATTACATATAACGTAGTAAAGTCAGAAAGGGGAGACTCGTAATTTCATAAAAACAGAGTGCCGGCGAATATCGATTGATAGGGTATGTGGGGTAACGAGGTGCGGAGCGATGATTTATGCCGCCCGTAACGTAACGCGTGCGTGGATTACAACGTAAAATATCCACACGACGATATGGTTTACGGGAATGCAAAGATAATATGTATATGAGAGATAAATTATTAATACAACGTAAAAACATCTTTGATATACAGTTCAACAAACTGACAAACCGCTTAACGAGTCAATTTAACAAGTTTACAGACAAGATAGTTAGGACAAAAAGGAGAAATTTGATGGGTAACATACTTTGATTCTGTCTTTTCTTCAACTCTGTTTATTGACCACTAAACTCTGCTTTTCTTGTACTTCTATAACTTCTATAATTTAGATAAGTTGTAAATCAATGAGGTGCGACCAAATAACAATTAGTCATGTGACGAAAGTAAACAACTTCGTGTCGCAATCAGCTGTAAAATATTTACATAATTACTGTATTAATGTAGGACTGTGGTTTTTGAACGAATGCTAGACAATTAAGATTGAGATGCGTGAATGACTAATTGGACAGAATGGAACGAAAGTATGACAGTGCGAAGGGAATAATGGAAGGACGGCAAGACGAAACGAGTGCAAGTAAAAATATATTGTAAAGCAGTAAATAAAATAATAAGAAGACGGAAAATCTTTCGTTCTGCCCACCACCTCACCACATTAATATACGTACCTAGTTTCAAGTTAAAAAGGTCTGCAATATACGACGTAGAACTAAAACTTAGCCTCGCTCAACTAACGCTATAAACACTTTGCGCAGCTGCAAGCAACATCAAATGGCCGCGTCAAATTGATCGTCAAAAATGATGGCGTCAAACGGCCAAAGTCGTTTTATGAAGTGAAAATATTTTCGTCGTGTTAAATGAAACGTGGCGCTTGAGCTTTAATGTCACTTGAAAAGTGTTTTAAAAGTAAACGTTTTGGAGAGAGTATTATTGGGTCGAGATTAAAAAACAATTTCGCATTAATCAATACGTTATTTAATAAAAATAATTTTTTAATAGTTCAAGAACATACAATAATGCACAGATTGTGTTCTTGAATCCCAGTAACATTTTGGTATTTATTGGTCATCGTTATTTGTCATGCCAAAGAATATACATAAGGTTATTACCGCGAGTCTGTGAGACTGTGTTTTGTCAAAAATAATGAAAGGGATGACTATAAGACTCATAGAGTTTTTGGGCTCGGAAACCAACGGTTAGAGATATGAATTTAAAATTATTTGATTTCGATACTTTTACATGAATAGGCAAAATCCGATATTACCCTAACCTAAAAATAACGATGGTTGAAAAGAAAAGTATAAAGGATCTGATACATAGAAAACCTGTTCGTATTTACAAAACCTACGCACAATAGGCTTATCTCTTTAAATGTAAATACATTTAGACTTTTTGGATTCAATAAAAATAACAAGTGATTTCGTCTGGTAGTGATACTCGAACAAACATTTTATTTATTCAATAGCCAAAGCGGCACCGCGGCAAGTTTACTTCTTATATTGTATGAGTAACTTATTCAGTGATACTTCTAGCAATACTTGGAAAACATTTCACTATGAATATTTCTTTATTGTTAAATATAAAGACTTTTTAGAGTGTATTACTTCAATTTTTTGTTCAACGTGTTTTTATATTTTATTTACAATGCTTATGTTTTGTTTAATTTAACCTATCCTAATGGTTGGTGTCTTATTATTGACGACACTAAGTACGTTTAAAGAATTTGGGATCGTTCATTAATTAATAATTTAATTAATTAATTTTAATTGATTAATTTTTCTATTCAAGCAAATTATATTGAACAAAGTATTAATGCGCTTTATCTTAGCAACCACTGAGGGTCTAGTGAGAACATTTGCGACACGCGTCTTGCACAGATTAAATAAACTTCGGTGATATAAATACGAATGTTTGAATGGATATAGTTAGATATAGTGTATATTAGTTTGTTATCTCCAGAGCAGCTGCATTTATCAGGATGTAATTTGATATACACATAGAACACTGTCTGGATGAACACATAGGCTATTTAATATGCCTTTTTTACTTATGCGCAGACAAAGTCGCGGTTAAAACTTATTTAATATAGCATTAGTCTTACAATCTGTTGATGATACTTGCTTTAAAATTAAGTTGCAAGAATCCGCTTACATTGCAAGTTAATAAGCTTATTATAATAAATCCAATTTTATAACTAATATCAGAATTTGTATATGTGAAAATAAATTTAATCGCGCTTGAAGTTAATGAATTATGTGGTCACGCATTGTGTTTGTTATAAATGGTTGAAATAACGGTCGGAATATGTAGGAACTTTTATGGTAATGGCTTTTATTTCTGTTGTATTGTTAAGGTTATGCTCTTTCTTATGTAACATCACTCCATCTTGGTAAAATCAATCAATCATCTCTTTCAACATATTTGTTTATTCCGATTTTTGTTTAATCTGTATTTATATTCTACTAACTGTCGCTGAGGACTCCGTCCGCACCGAATTAAAAAAAAAACTAGTAGCCTTAGTGTCATTCCAGAATATGTTTTACAACTATGTCTTCTAGCAATTGTCCATCCATCGTAAATTTCGCATTTATAATATTAGTAATATATAATAATACATACTTCATTTATTGTACGTGTTTTTGAGATTCATATTTCAGTTGAAAATACAGAATTTAAAATTATAAATAGGATATATCATATAAGACGGTTTAAATTATCGGATTATGAACGATCCTTGAAACATACGCCTTTGCGTCAATTCGATTAACCCAAAACTTTAATATTGTAGATAGATAGAGATAATTAAATTGATTCTCATATTGTTTTCTGTAGTTTGAAATGAGACTAATTAATAAGATTGTGATAGATGAGAAAAATGATATACACAAACGATAACCTTAAAAACGTTGAAAAAAGAATTGAATGCAGGAAATGGATGAATCCATGGAAATATATTAAATCCAGTCAAAGAGATCCTCATGGGAATAAACCATGAATGAAAATTTTTACGCCAATTCGTTATAAATTTAAAAATCAACTTATATGATAGATTAATCAATCAATCCAAAATTGTTAATAACTATACCACGAGGTATAAAAACAGATTTAACATTTTTGAACGTTTTTTTTTACACGTTGAGACTGTGGCAATTATATTTTACTATGTATTTATTTGAGGACTATGAAAAACACTGTCAAAATTTTGGACGTTATTAAAGTTTATTGCAGAATTAATCTCCAGACATACTTGTTTGTACCTATAACCTAAAAACTAATTCGTATCACTGAAGTTTTTATAAAATATAACATGATTTCTTTAAACATATTAATTTTTAGTTTACACCTTTTTAACTTCCTTATATTTCTCTGTTATAAAGTGTTAAATTAATTTCTTATCTACTTTAAGATACTTTGAAACGTCTTAAGATTTATTCAAAAATGCTTACCATTACGAAACTCCTGACTTAACCAACACATAAAAGTCTTGTCACATTCACATAATTTGTACACTACACAGCACAGAAATCACTCCAAGTTCACAAATCGTAAATACACTATGACATCCGTCATTTATTGACGTTTGCGACAGTTAATAGTAGGTTATGTCGGAAATAAATCGCTGCGGCGGGGCGCGGTCGTACGGGCGGGCGGGTCGCCACTCTGATGCCGTTTGAAACGTCGTGGTTTGTGCGCATGCTTGGACGCGCAGCTTCGTCAGAAGATGCGAGCGGGGATCGCCGGGGGAAGACGAGCTTTGACGAACTACGACGATATATGACGAAGTTTGACGAGATCACGCGCGTTTCGGGCCTCGTTAACGGTCCCGCTGAAACGTCGCCACAATAAATCGCAGTTAATTCACGTATTATGCTATGGATTTATGAGTGTGTCGGCTTATAACATTGTTTCATTGAACAGTAATGAACCTCATTATAGATATTTTCTATGTTGAAATGTATTATTATTAATTAAGTTATTAAAAAAAAGTCGACTCCAGGAATATTTGAAAAGAAGTTAATTTATTAAAATTTTAAGCTTAGATCGTCTCCCGTTATTTTGTAGGGAACGGAATTGGTAACCGTAGGACGAACGATATATACTGTATGAAGATTTGAAATTAGTTACTTTAGCGAGAAACTTATGTTATCTATAACATGAGTTGTACTTTAAAAAGTCAACAAGAACACAATTATGTTTACTTAATATTTTTCTTTGGAATAGTTTTGTAAAATACACCGAAATACATTGAAATCCGAATAAACGTTGTAATTATTAACAAAGCTATGGTCACCACTAACTCAGTTATCTTAGAGCGTAAGGTAGCGCTTCTGTGTATTTTCCAGGATCAGTTTGCGAGTGCGCGTCGGAGTTATATAATCATATTTGTTCACTTTAGATTATTTAGATTCAATCCGCTGCATATCAAAAATTCCTTGTATGTATTTATTAATTAAAGGCCAACTAAAATAGTTAGGTCATCGATAATAAAATCTATAAAATTATGATTTCAATGAGTACCATAATTACATAATTTGAGTAAGCGACGGGCCGCGTCCGCGAAATAATCCAGTCTCATTCACCCTAATGAAGCGTTCGATGGGCTCGAAACTAGTCAGTGCCGCCACCGGACGCATATACGTGATTGTTTTAGCCGTTTTTATATAAGTTTAAATGAGTACCATTTCCATTAATATACGAAACCTTTACACGATAAGAACATATTTCCACTAAGCGTCAAATCGCGCGGGCGTTTATATACACGGCCAGTGGAAATAAGAAATTGGATTTACAATAATTGATATGTATTAATATACTTTATTATGTACAAATCTCTAGTTATGTAATGAAACCGTGTCGATGCATCTACATTGCAAATGATGTCAATTGATACGATGTCAGAAGGACATGGATCATTTGTTACTAGATCTTGAATCCAATCCATATTCAGTTTGATCTAATTCGTTATTCCGTTTGTGCCACAATTGATTCCTAGGCAGACCGGCCCTGTACTACATTGAATTTGATTGATTGATACCGTATACATAACTGACGGTCCTTATAAAATTCTAGCTATACTTATGATCTTGTTGTTCAGTTGAATATTTAATTTTTAGCCGACTTAAAAAAGCAGGTTGTAAATGTCAGCAATTAAAATTGTTGTCTTTGTTAACCAATACCGCCACGAGATGGCGCTTTTAAAAATGCATCGAGACTGGTTTATTTCCATTTTCGCCATTTATTGGTTTGTTTGTTTTTCAGTATTTTCTTAAGTCTAAAGTTATTCGACTCCTTTCGGCTGTTTTCGACTGCTTTCGCAGGATCGTAAACAGTAAGGTACTTTTACGATAGCATAGTTACTACATCCAAAAATTATAACCTTATTTTATAAACAATAAGGTTTGTTTTCGATTGACACAAAATAAGAATATTCTCCTACATGTGCAGAGAAATGGTTACTTAATAGCCTTTACGGTATTTTCCGGCCATCTTTCTTTAAGCAAGGATATAAACATTCGCCTATGTACTGTTTTTCCACTTCAAATGTACCATACTGTGGAATAATTTATGTTAAGGATTTTCTAAGAAAAGTGACCTTGTGAGTTTAAAGAGTTACGCTAGATTTGGGAATTATTGCTCTATAAAATTCCTAGTTATTAGCTTCGTGTGCAGTGGATTAGACTTTCCTTTCTCTACCTGATTTCGATTACTCAATGTAACTTGACTTTTATTTTTCTCCTTATATCACTGACATCGTATTGTAATTTAAAAAAAAAGAGTACTTTAATTCGACGTAATAATATTTTTAGTAGAATTAGTTATTTCTGGGAAAGTGCGTTAAGTAAATTCTTCAGCAATTTATTAAAGAAAGTACAATAATTCTAGGAAAATGCCGTTCATTTAATGTAAAGGAATTTTAGATAATGTAAGAAAAATTGTGATTAGAATTAAAATAAAATCTTAGCAGTATTATAAATGTGAATGTTTGGATGGATGGATGGATGTATAGATGGATGTATGATAGAAGGTACATCCGGAAAGGCTCAACGGATCTTTTAAATTTGACACAGATGTAGAACATAGTCTGGGAGAACTCCGCAGAGTTTTTTAATTTCGCGTGGACGGAGTCGCGGGCGGCAGCTAGCAATATTATATTAATGAACGACAATAACCCCTTATTTATATGAAGAAAATTACAGTAATATAACTATTAACGTACCATCCTGATAATAGGCTACTACAGAATGTTTTCATTTGTTATTAAACAAAATATAGTCGTAATATTATTGCATATTCTTGTTTATTTAGGCATAAGTTTAATGGACATGTCTTATTATGTAAAGGAAAAGATAAACATAGAAAATTACAAGAAGAAATAAAAAGTATTTGTCTTCAAAAATTCAGTGAAATTGTCGTCGACAAAGAAATTGTACGCTGTCCTTTTATTTTACGAACAAACTATTTATATTTCAGTTTTGTTTTATTTTTAATAGTTTTAAACGTCCACATTTGTAAAAGGTACAGCTTTATGTCTCATACCAAGAAAAACTAAAGTACGAATAATTTATCGTATTAAAAATAGACAGAAAAAGAAACAAAAGTATAATTTTACTTTGGAAAGATTTGTTGAAAGCAAACACAATTCATGTAATTGAAAAGCCTGCTCTTAATTTTAATTTAATACAGTCTTAGTAGTAATAAAATGTTTTCAAAACCTTGTGCAAATAAATATTACACAAATGGTACAACTATAAGTAACAATACAAAAGACGTCGAGCGTTTGCGGAGTAAATCAAAAATTAACCGGAGCATGAAATCTCGCAGCAAACTTGCGCCAAAGTCACCAAATATGGGTCAAGCGCCGGTAGAAATGAATGAATTATTTTCGAATTTAATGCAATAAAAATATCTTCAGGCAAATTACGTAACGACTCAGAGAACTCTTCCTATTTATTTATTTATAAATAAATTTAAACATGGATAATCTCTTTGGAGCGTCGGTGGCTCAGGGGTCAAGAACTTGACTTGCAAACTGCAGGTCCTGGGTTCGAATCCCGCCATGTACCAATGTTTTTCGATATCCTATTTACATATGTACATTTATCCGACATTCTTACGGTGAAGGAAAACATCGTGATGCAACCTGCACATATCTGAGAAGAAATTCAAAGATACGTGTGAAGTCAACCAACCCGCACTGGGTCGGCGTGGTATGACTGTCACCCCTAGCACAGGGTAGGCTCAGAGCCCCTCGATGGGGATGTATAGTTAGCTGATTATGAATCTCTTTGTACATCATCTGGATATCCAAAGGAATAAAAAAAATACTGAATGTTTTTTTTTCGAGAAATGCAATACAATTCTCTACTTAATAGTATTGATTCTACAATGACTAGTTTTGACGCAAATTGATGCTATGATTGAATTAGAAATTTAAATAAGTATTTAAGCAGAAAACTTATGTTAAGCTTAAAGATAAATGTTTTGTGGCAGCGTCAACTTTAAATATTAAAAAATTGTATTAATTCCAATCAAATCCATTATTTTAGTGATAAAGCGTTTAAAATTAGAAAATTGATATTTCTAGCAGTTGTGGAAGAAAACACAATGCTATGACCATAATAACGCATGCTTCCATTGACAATATAACTCCCTGGTGACAAAAATAATTACTAGTAGAGTAAAATAAAAAAAACTATTTTCAAAAGTATCGCTAGTCGATTTACATAAGTACAGAGATACAAAGATCAACAGGTGCGAGCAACTGCAGATTGCAAGCAATGCACGACGCGAACAGATAGCTTAGACCGCGTTTACCAACTCCCAGTTATATGTTTACTTAAATCGTTAAAGCTTGCTAAGAGCAAAGCTAATCTGTTGGCGGGTATTTATATTCAGGGACGTTTATTTCCTTATCGGAGAAGCAAAAGCTCAAAGACTCCGATGGCTGGGCCACCTCATGAGGATGGGGGAAGATCGAAAGGCCAAAGCAGCATACCTCGGGACCCCGATTGTCCGCCGACCCATCGGTCGGCCCAGGTACCACTGGCGAGCTACAAGCGAAGGACTGGCAGGAGAAGGCGCAAGACAGGCGACTTTGGCGATCTCTTGTGTCGGAGGCCAAGACCCACTTTGGGTCGATGCGCCAGCGGAGTAAGTAAGTAAGTATGCTATGATCAATGGCAAGCGAATTTAGCTAAAACTGAAATGAGTTGCTAAACCGAAGACAAAAAAAAAGTTTTGTTGAAAACAAAAGAAAAATATTTTTAAATTTATAAAGGCATTAAACCTTCTGTGACGTCCGTAAAATACGTCCAAATTAAAAATTAAAAAAAAAAAAGTTCAAAGCGTATAAGTGTAAAGTCAATTAGAAAAATAAAATATATATATATATCCTAATAGTACCAGTAGTAAAAGCAGTAGTAATGAAAAGTGTGTTTCATAAAAATGTACAAGACATTTTGTATGAATAATTTATTCTGTTCGTAGTAAAAATGATTTTACTCAATTAAATAAAAAGAACAATGAAGTGCGGATATTTTAACGCAATATTTAAAACCATCGGGCCATTATTTTAGCGTTCAATCCAATAAATCCTATTCCTAAAGATAAATTGTTTCGGAGTAATAATT